CTGAGACCATTAGTCAAATGGCTGACAGAAGGCCCCACCCTGGCTTGATGCAGTCAGAGGCCTAAGCCATGTTTCCTATCAATGGGATAATAATTCAGATAAGGATTTGACTTTTAAGAATGTGTTTAGGATCTGGTTGTACTAAGATGATTTCTTCTGCCTTTTGTTATTGATATAATGTGATAGAAATGGTTATTGCCTTCAGTTATTCAATTGGATCTTAAAAGGTGTAGGTCTCACCTGCAAACAAAGTTCTGAAAAGATAAGTCTCATCTAGTGTTCAGTGCTCAGGGCATTTGCATTAGAAGAGACTTGGGTGGCGGGGGTGGAGTGGAGGGGCTATTGAAACACTGAAGAGAAAAAGGTGTCCTTTGCCTTTTTGAATTTTGAACTAGTGCCTGAAGCTGGAAAAATCTGGAGCCATGAAGAAACTCTCCTCTCTAGGTCTGAATGTTAAAGGGAGTCTGTGGGCAGCCTGGAATGCTTGCTAGGTGACATTTGGATCCATTTGTTCAGTGGAAGTAATGCAGCAATAGAAGGGTTGAGTATGGCCACTGAAACCCATGGACCTGGTTCACTGGGAATACAGATGAAAGCAGGTTGGCTAGTCTGAAGTTCATGACCTAGCCCAAGTGAGGTAGGGTTGGTGAGAATCTGTGACAGTCAAAAGTCAATGGGCACCCTGGTGAGGCCAAGAAAGGCAGCCTACATTGAGTTGACCAGAATCAGACCAGATGAAGGTAAGATTTCTGAGCCTGTGAACTGGTGCATATAGCTGTTGACTTCATGGATGGATGATCTGTCCTGACTTGACTTTGCTGATGGATGCTGACTCACAGAGTTCCAACTGGAATGAAGATTCTTCACATCTAAGAACATGCTTGCCTCCTCAGAGCACTGGGTTTCTATGAGGGGTTATCGTCCAAGAAAACTGGAATTTTTTTCAAAGCTATGTGTATGCTTTTTTACAAAACCACCTTATCACCTTCAAAGAACTCTCCATTACACTGAGTACATTTGTCAAATCTGCAAATCCATTCTTGGAAACATTTTTCAAACTCATCTTAGATGTTTGGATGGCTCCCTCATTTTTGTCTTCACCTCTTCCAAGTCATCCAATTGCTGTCCTTTCATCATTCACAGAAACAAAAATAAGTTCTATGGAGCAAGGTCAGGTGAGTAAAGGTGTGTGGGGCAAGAGAGGCATGCTGCTTTTTGCCACACACACAAAATGATGTACTGCGATGGCTTCGTGAACAGTTGCATTTTCATGGTGGCAAAACCAGTCCCCTGCCTGCCACAAATCAGGCCTTTTGGTCACACTGTTACACAATCTTTTCAAAACTTCTAAATAGAAAACTTGATTAACAGCCTGACCTGGTGGAACGAGCTGCAAATGTACTACTTCCCTCACATTAAAAAAAAA